TTGCTGTTTCGAGCCCTGTGTTCTTACATTCTGTCATATTCACATTAAATTGTCTAATTGAATTAAATTATTTCTTAAGCCATAAATTAAAAGTCGTTTTTAAAGTGCTGGAAACATGGCATTCAATCACAGCATAGCATATCCGTACTTGGATGTTGGGTGAGAATGCACGACAACAAAATTTGGTTAAATTTGGTTATGACCGGAAACTCTGTTGCTACACATTTCCAGCAGTGTTGATGAGAATCTGTTGCCACGGAGATTACTTTCTGCAAGGTTGACAGCAATATGGAGCAACTTCTATATAAATAACAGTCAGGATTGTCAAATAAATTTAGCTTCGTGGAGTATCAGACAAATACATATTCCAGGAATTAGGAGAATTTTGCATAGTGACTCTGAATGAATCTACCCCAGAGATTCTAAAAAACGGGTACTAATATGAGGAAATAAATTTCTATTTTTATCGAGTTAGAAATTACTTTTGGATTCTGGCTGCTGGTGTCTCCAGCAGAAACTTTATAGCGCGCAAAATTTCCAAGTCCCACATTTCCCACCTGATAGTAAAGATCTTCATACAATTAACTGAAAAACTGAAAGAATTCAAAGACTGGAAAATATATATTTTTATCTAGGACTTGAATGATACTTGAAAGAAAAAGGTAAAATGCACTGCGACATGAAGACCTAGGGGAGGTATATATAAATCCTCGTATTCTTGACCTCGGCAAGATTTGGAGGTAAGTGGTAAGCTTCACGTCTCGGCCGCTTTACACCCCGGGGAATGAGCCCTCTTTACCCCTTGGATGGAAATCTGAATGGGTCTCACAACCGGTCTGGACGCAGTGGAGAAGAGAAAATCTTGCCCTTTCCGGGACTTGAACTCCGATCCCTCGACTGTCTGGTCCGTAGCGAGTCGCTATATCGACTGCGCTATGCCACACATGAAAACAATAAAAATACATTATTCCTTCTACTCAGTGCACAAGTAATAACACAGATTTTATTTAAATGTTTGCCGCAAGGATTACAATAACGTTTTACCCTCGACAGTGCAGGATAATTCCCGTTTGTGAGGCGTAAGAAGCAGAAGGTTTAGAGTGGTGTTAATTTGAAGGAGAAGAAAAAGTAACACCCGAAAAGTTCATGAATGCGTGCCTGACCAATCATGGAGCCATAAGATCTGAGTACAAAACTTCGTTTATGGCATCTGAGACTCATTTCCTGATGTTCCAAGGTAATATTAATAAAAAATTCAGTTTTCTTTAATAACTTCTATTTCAATATTAATATCTGGCAGATACTCCTTTCTTAGATTTTGGTGTTTTTCTAAACAAAATCCAGGAGCGTCATTTTCGAGTGATTGTGGCTTCTTTTTCCTAAGGCTTCGTCTCAGCTGTGTTAAACCGCTATTTTCAAACAAGGATCATTCGATTTCAATTAGCTGTAAGAAGTGTGTTCTTAATACAATTAATGTTACTGTTATTAGTATATTATAGTTTTTATACAGTTAGTAGCGTTAATATTAATGGTATGATTAACAATATTATTTGAATATTCCCCTGCTTGACCCTGTCCTGAACAAGAAGCAACAATACAAAATGCTCCTTCCTAGGCGCAGGGCTCCCAAATACTAGCAGTTCTTATGTTAGTGTTTTTGCTACAGATTTATCTTGGACGTACAAAGTTCGACATGCGAAATCAAACTCATTCTCCTTCATAACTTTCTAACGGAATTTGAAGAAGAATAGAAATTTAACATTTTGCTGTAGAAGGAATAGCCTAGTCGGTATAGCGATGGACGACCGAGTCGCGGTAGAGTAAAAAATTTTCACTTCTCCAATCTTCCAGACCGGCTCCGGGGTTCAACCAACCTCCTATACAATGGGTACGGGGGCTCTTTCTCTGGGGTAAAGCGGTCGGAGAGTGAAACTGACCAATTACCTCCAACTAGTGCCGTGGTCAAGAAAATGTGGATTTATGCATCCATTTCCCCATACGTCTTCAGAGCCTAGTGCTTAATCTGTTAAGCACAGGGACAACTTTTTATGTGCCTTTTTCTAACTTCTCATTACTGCGTCTGCTAGTGTAGAAATGCTTTCGTCAGCAACTCCCAGTTTGTGTCCTCAAAGGACGCGTAGTCCTGTTCCACACCTGAATACAGCAGTAGATAACATTACAATTGTCCTAATTTTAATCACTACTTTTGTTGGGAGAATTTAGATAATTAACGACTCTGAATTGAGTTACAGAAAGCATTCTCTGAATTTCATCAGCTACTAACTTCTTCATGAATGAATTTTGCTTTGTTGCTATCGCTTCAAAAAATTTTAATGTTATCACATTTTCGAACATTAAACTATCTATCTTATATCGGATATTGTAACCGCCACACTTTATAGTAATTGTGAAGGAATACAACAACTTTAAAAGAGGTTCTAATAACTAAGTTTGTAGCTAAGCTCGTTAATATTGATTCTTGTCTCATTTCTTAAGAAACTTTTTTTTTTCCTTGCCACTACAGCCCCAGTGAGCCTAGGCCTCCCTCCATGAACTTCTCCGTTCACTTCTGTTTTTTCTAGATCTTACACATTCGGTAGGTCTCCTTGGGCGGGTGATCAGCTCGTCGCAAGGCCTCTACCTGTATACAAACACAGAAAAACCCACACACACACACAAACTAAACATCCATGGCCCGAGTGGGATTCGAACCCACGATCCCGGTTTCCAAGCGAGCGAAGGCAGTACATGCCTTAGACCGCTCGACTACCGTGACCGGCTCTTAAGAACATTAGCCATCTTTTATTAGGTTTTGTCCTGCATTTCGATGGGGAGACGTGAATACATGTTTGATATTTATCGTTCTATGTCTCATATGAATATTTCATTAACTTTTCACTTCTTAACGGTAAATATCCCTCAGGGCAGAATAGAATAGAAAATGATGCCTTCAAATCGCTTCAGCATCTCAACATGCACCCCCAATAACAATGACATTGGTAATCCAGCACCATGAACAAACGTATATTCAGCTTACAAATTCTCTAGGGTTCAAAGCATAAGCTCAAAGGTCGCGGTACGTGTAGGTAAGCAAATAAAAGCATGCGTACGGCTACAACAGAGCTTTAAGCACATGGCACAGACACGCAATAACTTGAGTCGGAATGGCACTATGCAGGCCTGGTTGTACTTTCGCATTTTGCAGCTTCATCTGTCAGTACAAGATAGCATTCAGCCTATCTGCTGATTCACGCCTACGTAGAAATGCGCACCTGAGCGATATAAGCATACATCTGTTTCAAATCGAAGACGCAATCGACGTGCTATGATGATAATGATCTCTGAGTGAATTACCAGCTTCTTTCTCTTCGCTTCATAAATCCTCACGAAGCCTGTATCCTCAGATTCACGCGTGTTACCGTATACCTGCTGATCCGGATAGTGATGGAAGTGAAGGAGCGCTGAAGTAACAGACACATGTCAATAATTCATCTCCCTCAGCCTCGCTACCACGACATACACACGTACCCAAAGTGTATAACTGACATAACAGTTCTGCTGTATTATAGTAAAGTAACATAGAACAGGAGGACGCCCGTGCTCAACATGACAAATGTAGGGGTGAGGGGGGAACGAAACGAGTGTACCTAACTGCGTCGTGGAACGGATAGGCAGAAAAGTGGACGCCTGACGTTAAATTGGCACACAGTGGCTTTACTACTTGGACGCACGAGGAAAATAAGTATTGAGAAATTTAAACACACACACAGCGAACACAGGAGAAACTGCAGCGTTTACGACAGTATATGTATGCATGTATGTATGTATTGTGACATGCTGCCTGAAAGCCGGACTATAAGACGTCCATCACTAGTCAACGGCTATCAATTCCTAGGCAGCAAATCCTAGGAAATCGTTGCCCGGAAATGAAAGTTCAACAGTGGGGTTTCCACCGTTACAAACGACGTGTTTGCGGTAGACACATATTCCCGCTTTCGTTGTATAGCAGCGGGCGAAATTAACCCTTCGACAAGGTATTCCCTATTCAGTCCGAGTGCAATATGTAAGAGTTCGTATTCGGAAAGAGACCAGCAGAGTTCTTATCCGACTAAGAGCAGAAGAGTTCGTATCCGACAAGAGGCCAAGGATAGTTGAGCTCCGAGCAGAGCAGAAGACGCTTCACCAAGATCAGCGGTGCAATAATTGTAATAGTGAAGAGGAAACGTCTGACGACGTTATAAGTGTGAATAATTGTACTTGAGTGTGTCCAATAAAACTATTCGTTCAAATCCGAGACGCACACAATTTCTTGTCGCGTTGCCTAGGAAACACGCAACAGTAAGTATGTACGTGTGTATGGTGTTCGCGACAGATTCTTACTAAAGTTTTGGAGGAATCTATTGCCCTGGTCTTAAATCTTAGTATCTGAATCTCTTCTTCGTAACCAAATATGAACATCTAGAAACCGCCCAATATTTAAAAAGCGTTCTAAAATATGCGTCCTGATTAATCCTTACATCAAAAGAGAAATGCGGCACTAGATTCAAAGACAAGAAAATGCAAGGAGAATATTTGACTTCCATCCTTTCAGCTGAGTGGAGAGGCACACAAACCTTAGGAATAAGAAATGTTTCAGCTTCCTTTACTTCGTCACAAATTTAACACTGGCATATTTTTCCAATGTATGGACGATGGAATCATTCAGATGACACCTCATGTTTATCTCCACAAGAAGATTCATCGGGCATCTGAGGTTCCCAAACTCTTCAAACAGAAGTTAGAAACGCAAATACGGACTAAATTCCGCAAACTGGACATGGATACAGAAGGTTGATTAATGACGTACCTGTAGGCAGATAAATGGTATATAGGTCCATGTAGAGCCTGGCAACTTTGGTAAGTTGGCAGAGGATAATATTAAACATGAAAACTGTACTTACGTATTGCGGCACAGCCCGAAAACCACAGAAAATGAGTGTCATGGTTTTGGTGCGACTCACCCGACATCTCATACAGGAGACGAACGGCATTTCATCTTCTTTCCATGTGATACGACAGGGCCCTGGCCTATTTTGGGTAATGATCTTAGAATTTTCGCAGAGGGACTAACAAACAGCATCAGAAATCGTAGTTAGGAAAACCACAAACTGGTCGGAGAATCGAGGACGGAATCTCCAGAATACGAGACAAGAGCTGCTGCTTATTTGAAAGCCATACGCCTTGTTGACGAGGGCAGTGCTTATGGATGAGGAGAGCGCATGCGCCGCGCGATAATCTGCAGAACAGGGAACCGTCCGTCACTTTATCGAATGCCGCCAGGTCGTGGGAGAAGTCGGTGAACCGAATGGATGGACCACAAGTACTCCAGAATTTTCCACGTCAATAAAGAGAAGAGGAATCAGTTCCTCTGCTTTCTAACAGATGTCGACTCTCGTAATATTTCACGTTGTTGCGAGAACCCGAAGCCAGGTGTCCCGAGTAATCACTCTTGCAATAACAGCACCTCCGCAATACAGGACCCTGCACGCATTTTCCGGTACGTTGACTGTATAGACAACTTTGGAATATACCGAACTGACTTCTTATTAGTTAGGGTACACAGGCATTCAAACGCCAGAAGAGAAACTTTTTGAGCAGCACTGAAAGAATTCGTCGTCGCAATGACGCAGTTCATGGCGGGATTTCAATGCTTGATAAATCTGTAACATGCCACAACACAAATCTCGTACGTAAACTTACAATAATTTATCAGTCATTATTATCATCAGAGATCACATTATGTATGAAACGTTGAATGTGTTAACTAAATGGCTTGTTACATAGTGAAGCTGATCTCCAAGACTCTCAGATGTCATGATGCTGTTTGTCTGCATGCCACAACCTACTATAATAATCCATTTTTCTCGGTTTGACTGTATGTCCTAGTCTTTCATTTGTTAGTCTTCAATTTCTCTGATAACATTTCAAAGATTTCATTCTCTCTGATTTCTGGTAGTGCATTATACGTAATCGTCATATGTGCCCATCCACCCTTTCAGTGCTCCTACTTAAATACCCAAACATCATTAGCATATGAAGAAAGCCGTCTTCTGGGATGCGGCGCCTTTTAGATATTGCGTTAACCGACGTTTCGGAGGAACGTATCGCCTCCATCTTCGGGGTAGAAGAAAAAAGAAAACCCGCGAGCGAGGAACCAGCATGAGCAGGTGCTGACAGACAATATCTACACGGCGCCACAACCTAGAAGACTGCCCTCTTCATAGTCACTGCCGTGAAAACCTCAAAACTTACATCATTATCATAGTTAAACGATTTTCTGGTGTAACGCTATTCATAATTATTTTTGAATCTGGTAATATTCCTTTTTAGGAATTTTGCTAAATCGTACATTTATTAGATCACAGTAACCTGGTCTGTCAAATATATATATATACCTCTTTTAGACTGTATATACATAATAGTCTATTTTTCTCCATCACGACAGTAAGAAACAAATTTTCGAAGAATAAATCAAGATGCATTCAATTGCGATACACTGTCGTTGTTAATTGTTATTGTCTAAAGTTTTGTTGCTCTCCTCTTCAATGTAATCGGTTATGTGTCGGAAACAAAGACACTTTTCAGTCGACAAAAAGAAATACCAAATACCATTCAATTGCGATACACTGTCGTTGTTAATTGTTATTGTCTAAAGTTTTGTTGCTCTCCTCTTCAATGTAATCGGTTATGTGTCGGAAACAAAGACACTTTTCAGTCGACTATAAGAAATACTAAATACTCAGTAATTAAATTATAAAATCGCTCCACGAAATAGAAGTCACAATGGAAACGTGGCGTCTTTAAAATGACGTTTCGATTATCACGAGTCTCAGGAAACATGACAGGGGATATGAAGAGCAAGAATTGTGTTATTGTAACAGTGACCCCTAATTGTATGATATTATGACCGTATTCGATAGTTTTAGAGGTCTATGACTATGATGAGCCGGGATAGATTAGTCAGTGAAGTGACTGGCTACAGGCTGGATTCCCAGCAGAGGCAGACTGTAAAGAGAGTGTCTACATCCGCCAGCTGCAGAGGAAGACCACGGATTGGATGCCACAAATATTCAGCTTCGAGTTCACTCGTGGCAAAATAACTGGCTCGATTGAATTGTCTCTGTACATCATAGTGGCAGCCATCTGTGCTTATCACGTGACGCTATAAACAGGACGATTACTTGTTTATTCAATAAATTGATGACTCCGTTTCAGCTACTCTGATTATGAAACACTGCAGCGCTGGTGCATGTTAGGTCACACAGTTACGTTTCTGCCATTTCGAATCAAAATTAGTTTGTAGCTCGTCTTGATTTGCTGTAAATAGAATGAGAAATAACGATACTTTTCCTGAAGATGCCGTCTTCTGGGATGTGGCGCTGTTTAGATCTTGTATGAACCGAAGTTTCGGAGGAACGTATCGCCTCCATTTTCAGGGTAAAAAACCCGCGAGCGAGGAACCAGCGTGAGCAGGTGGCCGCAGCTGCAAGCACCGCTGTGAAAACCTCACATCTGAGGATATTTTCTCTGCCTTTCAGAAATATTGTTGGCTGAATCCGGCCATTTGTAGAAGAGCGATTTGTGGTGAGACTCCTTCAGGTTCCAATTGAATGTTCAAATTCCCAGCGACGGAAGGAACGCGAGTGTGAAGTAGAGGCTCAAATTCACGATATTCAGAATTTTTAATACAAAATGGATTATACTGAAATGGATAGCAAGCAGTTGATCTTAATGAAATAAATTGTTACGGTGTGAGGTGGATTCAGCTGGCTCACGATACATCCAGTTATGGAAGACTGTGAAAATGACAGTGAACCAGACAGTCTCACGAAAGGCGGAAAATTTATTATCAGTTGAGTCCTATCTTCTCAAGAAGATTCTCCTTTCTCGCAAATGTAACGCATTTCATTAAACCTAGGAACCAGCTAGCAATGGACAGAAAGCAACAAGGACACAGAGTAGGACTACAAACTTACCGGGCTCGACGAGATGTGGTCTTAGTTAAACTGATTTGAGCTTTGCTTGGATTTGCCTTTCGCCATAGGACACGGCGATAAGACGAGTTGTTGGGGCTGCAGATTAGCTCACAGGCTATTGTAGCTTATGTCTACACAAGCGAAGTTCAAGCTGTGGTCTGTGGAAACTAAATGAAGTTAACAGAACTGCACTGTTTGCTGTTCTCATTTCAGCGTTTTGTTCAAGTAGACTGATCGGGGATTACCTTCCCACTAACTGTTGAAACAGTTCTTTGATTATAGATGGGATGAAATAATCGGGAGTCTTCATCTTCTTCTTTTTCTTCTGCGGTCGCTACAGTGCATGTTGAACCTTGGCATATTTTACGATTGCTCGCTATTGGTCCCCGTCCTGTCGTTTTCGTCTGCAATTTCTAATGTCGATTTTCTTCATGTCTCCTTCAACTGAATCCAGCCACCTGGTGGCAGATCAACCTACTTCTCGAGTATCGGCCGGTTCAGGCAGAGTTCACTTGCTGCAAAGATTGTGCTCCTGCAATTTAAAAAGGCGTACCAGCTATTCATCTGCCCTACTTTGGTCACTTTCACTTTATTAATTCATTATATAATTCATAAAGTTCATGATTATACATTGATCTCCACGTACATTTTTCCTAAATTGGGCCATAATTTTTTAATATCATCCTGAAAGATTTGGAGCATATTTTCATTTGCGGCGTCAGCTTTCGCTCCCGTAAGTAAATATAAGTCTTACAGGCATTTTGTATATAGTCCGTCTCCTTA